ACAGTCGTCATTATCATCATCATCGCTATCGTATACTGATGATTCATCATCATTCATAACTTCCTTAGGCACTTTACCTTGTGAAAGATTGCTTTGGGAGTCAGTATTACCAGCGTTCTTTTTTCTTTCAAAAACAACATCAACCACGCTCTTCCATTCTGGTTCCACACGAAGAAAATCGAGATTATCTACGTTTTCCACGAAATCAGTTAAAATGTCATCCCTTTCTTGCAACGAGCAGTTATCTGACAAGCTTCCAGTGCTACACTCTGATTCGGAGTCCAGGGAAGGGTGATAGTTTGGGTCTAAAATTTCCTCTTCTTCACTGTCGCATATAACTATTTCACTAGATTTGGTATTACCAGCCGTCACTGGTGGTTGAGGTGGTTGGATTACTTGGTCAGCATTTTTGCGGTTGTTTAACTCTTCAGATAGCTCGGCATCGCTTTCACACTGGGAGGACATCATAGACACTAACTGTTTAAAGCTTCGCTTCTTGCACTCTTCATTTCTTTTCCACACGTTATCCACAAGTTGATCATACTCCAAATCGCTGTCATGGTCATCATGTGTATCACCTACCTTTGATTCCATTTGATCCATTACTTTTTCATACTCCAAATTACTGTCATGATCATTGCCTGAATCTCCACTTTCTTCATTATGTAGCTTGTGTTCCACTTTATCAACTTGCTGATCATACTCTAATTTGCTGTCATCATCATTGTACGTCTCTCTTACCTTTGATTCACAACTTTCTTCATTATGTAGTTTGCGCTCCTCTGCATTACTATTGGAGGAGGTCGGTGCGAGGTGCCCAGGGTTACTCACGTTTCTGCTGATAGTTGCTTCTCCTTCAGGATTTTCTAATAATTGATCATCCGAGTCATTTTCAATTTCTTCCTCAGCTTCGATTCTATTCACCAAACTATACTCATTTTCCTTGTCACCCTTGTAAAATTTCACCCTTTTTGCGGCCTTTCCACGTACAGGTGATTTTGATTCGATTTTTCTCTTTTTAGGACCATCTTTAGTTGTGGCGCTCTTTGCTTTGGATTTCTTTCTCTTGGCAATGTGATCTCGTAGCTCTTGAAGCCCAATTCTCGGAGCAGATTTAAGCGCATCTAAGTATTGGTTTGAGTTGGGATTAAGCTTGTGGATATTTGACTGTAAATGATGATGAAGTTGAAAGACACCTTTCTTTGAATGCTTGCATGGAGATAACGGACAAAACTTTATCTTCCTATTAGGCGCTTTCTTGTTTCCATTTATATATACATCTACCTGACGAAAAATCTTATTCACTTTATGTACATCCTTCTGATGACGAGATAAATTTATAACTGATTTCCCACATCTCGAACACACTTTAGATTCCCGAGACTTTTTCCTTATTTCAGAACTACCTTCCATGGTTACTATAATACAAACAAATAGAAAACTGATCTCAATGATAGAGTTGACAATGGTTAGCACAGCATAACAGATGAGTAGAATGATCTGACAATGATCAACACAGCATAAAAGATAATTAAAATGATTTGACAGTGATGAACACAGCATAAAAGATGATTTCAATGATTTGAAAGTGATAAACACAGTATAACATGATTACAATGATTTGACAGTGATCAACAGAGTATAACAGATGATTTAACAGTGATCTACACAGCATAACAGATGATTAGAATGATTTGAAAGTGATCAACAAAGCA